GAAAAACCCTAGCTACAAATTGTAAATTACTATTAATTTAAGTACCAATTACCTCCTTCAACAAAGCGTCTAGGGCTAAAGCACACTCCAATTCATCTTCCTCGTCTTTATCGTGGTGCACTCGTTATTCAATGGTGGCGTTGTTATCAACATCGTGTCCAAAATTACATCCACTAGCACCACCAAAGAGCTCATCACATTCCACCAAACCTTTTGTTAAAATCGGATCCTCCATCTAACATCTTCCATGCCATTTTCAATCATGAATTCTCGCCCCTCCATTGACCTCAAAATGATAAAATGGAGAAAAAAAAGAACAATGAAAAATGGGTTGAAAATGGTAATAAAATTAAAAAGGGGTGAAAAGTGAAAAGAAAAAAAATTGCTAAAATAAGGGTAATATTTAATTAAAAGGTCAAAAGAAAGAAAAAAGTTATAAGAAATTTAGTACTCCATCCGTTTTTAAATATTTTCTTCACTTTTCTTTTTTAACCGTTTTGAAATATTTGCTCCATTTCTGTATTTGGAAAGCTTTTACAATACTTAGTTCATTTCTCTCACCTAGTGGACCTAACGTAAATCATATTTTATGAGTGCAACTAGGCGCATAGCTCCTATATGTTTACAAAACATATAGGATGAAAAAATTGTAAATTTGACAATCTTTTGGAAAAAGTTCACTCTACAGTGGTACATTATAATGTACCATTATGCAAGAATAATATACTATTAAAATAAAATTTGTGTGAATAGTTCCTTTTATGTACTATTACGCATGCAGTGGTACTTTCTACCATCATATTCGTTGAATATATTCCCCAAAAATATTTACCACCTATCATCTATTATACATGTAATGGTATTTCTTCATCATATATTTTTGCTAAACCCATAGGAGCTATGCGATAAGGGTTAATCCATATTTTATTAGTTTGATATTCTCTCTCCTCTAATTCTCTAAACTACTTTTGCTTTTTACATTTTTTTATTCTTTCTTCTACCCTATTACCTCTATATTTTATTACTTTTTTCCAATTTCTCCTAAAAATTCGTACATGAAGAAATGGAGCAACTATTTAAAAACGGAGAAAGTGTTACATTGTTGTATTATACCGTATACCCGTATACAAGCTTTTCATTTTTATTTTTTGCATGTACATCACTTTTATTGCCAATTGGGTCCCATTCCATTCTCCCCAATCCCCATTCTATTGGATATACATTTCTTCACGAATATTCAAAATTCATTTCTACTTCCTCCATTTATGAGGAGGGAAATGTTGTTAACAAAATTAACCTTTCCACATTCACTTCACCATCACATGTAATTTGCTAATAAGCTGATGAGTGTCATTTATGGCACTCATTTTTTCTTTTTTAGGGTGATATTAGATTGATTTTATAGCTTTTTTCCTTCCTTTTCCTTAGTTTTGCTCTTTATTTCTTTAGTTTGCACTTTACTTAGTTGATTTTCCATTTTCATGAATTTCTTGGTTTTTCTTGTCTTTTTCCCTTTTATTTGTTTATTTTCTTTCATTTTTCAGGTTAAGATCGTTTTCCAAGGATTCTCGAGACTCCTTCCCAAGTTTGGCATTATTAGGATGCCTAGTGTCCTCCATTTGAAGCTCATGCATGGAGAAGTCAAAATTCCATTTGACCCTAGACCGTGCATTCATGTCGTGGGGGGACCTATTCAGGTGTTGAACCCACTCTTGGGTGATTTTGAAACTGCCATGTCCCGTGTTTTTAGAGCATCGAGTGGAGCGCATGAGGAGCCTTGAGTTGATGGTGAAGGGGGCTGCCCTGTTCCTAGGAGTGGGCGTGAAGGATAAAGGCACGGCCGCGCGACCTGGTTGCGCGGTCGCGCGTGGCCCAGGCGCGGCCGCGCATGTTTCTATCCCTGTTCCGTACCCAGTTTTGCGCAGCCGTGCATTCTCTTGAAGAAGGTCGCGCCTATACGGGTCTATTTTGGACGATTTAACTAATTTCTCTTTGTTAGTTTTACTATATATAGACTTTTCTTCTATTTTGAGAGAGAATTGAATTTTAGAGAGAGGATGAGGAATTAGATATCTTAGAATTAGAATTAGTTTTGAGTTTCTTAGAGAGAGAACTCTAGATTTTGAATTTTGTAGAGAGAGAAACATTAAAGATTGATGATTAATGATAGTTGCAATTAGTTTGAATTCAAGTACATTTCCTCTTATTTGATTAAGTTTGTAAGAATCATCTTTACTTTAATTCAATCTTTAGCTTTTGATTTCAATTGCTTTTTTGATTGTTCAAGTTTATTGATTGTTTGATTGAGTTAGTTTAATTGGAATGATGTTGATGAATTGGATGAATTGCATAGCTTTGTTTTTTATTTCTTTAATGGATTGTGACTATTTTGCTTGCTAGGGATTTGGTGAAGCATGTATTAGTGATGGATCATTAGCAAATTGCGAGGTTTTTGATTGATTTAGCATTCTGATTAAATTGGTTGATTGATTTTGTGCATGTGTATGGATTGGAAGGAGTGATCAACCTTGTTCTTCATGCTTGATTGCACTGTGTGTTTACACTGATAAGGACGATTGATTTGTAGCTCACATTTATCGATTGAGTTTTGTTTATGACGTTCCTAGTAGAGTATTTCGTAGTTGGCGCTAGTTTGACCTCTAGGAGATAGCTTGTAGAGCTCTTTTGATTGCAATATCTATCTTCCCTCGTAATACTCGAGTTAATCGATCTCCAACCCAATTAGTGTGTATTAATTGAGAGTATATGTGGATCCCAATTCCCTAGAGTTTGATAAATTGATTTACTTTGGGTTTGCTTGTTTGTTTAGTTGATTTAGACAACCTACATTCCTTTTTACGCTTCGAGATAGCTTAACCTTAGAAATAGTTAACTTCCTCCCATTCCCTTGGGTTCGACCCTTGACTTGCCTCTATACTAGAATATAGGTTTGTTAAGTGTTTACAAATTTCGTTTTGACCGCGGGAGGATTAGTTTCAACAACCTAGTCTCAACCCACGTCAAAAATGGCGCCGTTGCCGGGGAATGGCGTAGTTGTTTGCTATTGTTGTTTAGTCTATTTAACTTTATTCCAAAAATACAAAAAGATTTTTCTCTTTTAGGCTACATTTTTAGGCGTGCTACTAAAATTTTCCTTTAAGATTGTTCATGCAAGAAATCATGGGAGAAATCCCAAAGGTCACATTGAAGGAGTTGGGAACTCTGGGTGCATATAAGTATGAGAGTGGTATTTCTCCATCTTCAATTCCGGAAATTTACTTTAAAATCAAGCTGGCAATAACAACTTTGATTGAAAGGCGACAATATAGTGGTGGAGCAAATAAAATTCCCCTTAATCATCTTAAGGAGTTCAAAAAATATTGCAACACGATTAAGGTGAACGGGGTTGCACAAGAATTCATGAGGCTCAAGCTATTTCCTTTCTCTCTAATTGGAAGAGCTCAAGAGTGGCTAGACAAGGAAGTGAATACTAATTCCTTGAGAACTTGGGATGAAGTCACTAAAGAATTCCTTTCCCGTTTCTTCCCTAAAAATAAAAAGGCGGAGGCAAGAGCTTTGATTCAAGGTTTCAAGCAAATGACTAGTAAAAGGCTTTATGAAGCATGGGAGAGATACAAGGAGTATCAACGCGAGTGTCCTCACCATGGAATCCCCAATTACCTAATCACTCAAATTATTTATGGTGGTTTGAGTCCTCAAGGGAGGTCAAGTCTTGATGCCGTAGCCGGAGGCCCAATCATGAACAAGATAGAGGGAGAGGTTGTTAATATTATTGAGGATGTAGTCATACACTACATGGATTGGCAAGATGGTGAGAAAGAGCTGACAAAAAAGAGTAGCACTACGGGATGCTCAATTGATCAACTCAATGCTATCAATAATTTGTCCACACAAATTTCGGATTTAGGGAAAGAGGTGGTATCTATCAAGGTTAAGCTTGAGAGTGCAACTTCACAAGCACCAATTATTCCCTCCCAAATTAAGGGGAGAGGTACATCTCCTTACCCTAACACTCTTCCCCCTTCTTGTTGTATGATTAGTGAATGTTGGTTTTGTGATATATGTGGAATGAATGATCATGATGCTTCTTTTTGCCTCAATGTTTCTTGTGATAAAAATGATGAATATGATGGAAATAGGAGTGATCATGTGAATTATGTTGCTATAATAATGATTTTGGACCTAGATTTGTTGTTCATAGGAATGTTGGGAATATGGATTATCACAACCATGGAAACTATGATAATTATAACCAAAATAGTGGTTATGGGAACCAAAGAACCCAAGGGTTTTGTGGTAACTATAACAACCATGGTTATAATGGTCAAAGTCATGGCCAAGGGTATGGGGATCATAACCAAAGTTATGGTAACCATAATAAAAATCATGGCCAAAATCAAGGTAGGGGTAATTGGAGTAATCAAAGTATGGGGAATTTTCAAAACAATGCTTAAAGAGGTACCCCACTCGCATTTATTCCAAAGGCCCAAGGCCAATGTGATAGTTTCTATGATCAACATTCTTCATCTAAGAGTTGGTTAGAGGATGTCATTGAGAACCAAAACAAGGTGTTGAATTCTCATATAACCCTTAGAACCAGAGGGTACCCCAGTCGTATTTATTCCAAAGGCCCAAGGCCAATGTGATAGTTTCTATGATCAACATCCTAAGATCCAATGAGTGCAATTGTGACTAGGAGTGGTAGGATTCTTGAGAGTGGAGTTTTTAAGAATAGTGATGCGAAGGAGATCCCTAACAAGGATCCTATTGAGCATGAGGGAGACGAGAATCCTTTGGTTGATAGAGTTGATGAGGAACAAGTTGAGAAAGTGAAAGAGAAAGTGAGAGAAGTTATCAAGCCTAAGCTCCCATACCCTCAAAAGTTTAATAGACACAAATTAGATGAACAATTTGGCAAGTTTATAGAGATGCTTAGGTAACTTTATCTTACCCTCCCATTCACCAATGTCATTGACCAAATGCCGAATTATGCAAAATTCCTTAAGGAAATCTTGAGTGGTAGGAGAACATGTTATATGGCGAAAACGGTTAGTTTGACCGAAAATTATAGTGCTATCATAATGAACAAGATGTCGCCTAAGTTGAAGGATCCCGAATATTTTTCCATCCCTTGTGCTATTAACAAGACACAAATTGATAATGCCTTGTGTGACCTAGAAGCTAGTGTTAACCTTATGCCATACTCGGTCTATCAAAGACTTGAGCTAGGAGAACTTTCACCTACCAACATTACCTTACAATTAGCTGATAGGTCCATTAAAATCCCAAAAGGTAAGGTTGAGGATGTTCCCTTAAGGGTTGGGAAATTTGTGATCCCGGTAGATTTTGTTGTGCTTGATATGGACAAAGATTCCAATATCCCCATCATTCTTGGTAGACCATTCCTTGCAACATCGGAAGATTTGATTGATATAAAGAGTGCTAAAATTTCTTTAAAGGTAATGGAAGAAGAGATTGAGTTTGATTCAAATGAGAGTATGCAATACCCTTATTCTTCTTTAGAGGATTGTATGAGAATCAAAATTTTAGATGATATTGTGAATTCCATGAAAGAGCACTTTCTCGCCTCTCATGATCCTCTTGAGTATGTTTTGTTGAACAAAGAAGAGATAGGTGAGCATGGCAAAGAAACAACTTTCCTTAAAAGAGTCATTGATGAGTGCTTGGAAGGAAGTGATGAACAATTGTGCATGAAGATCTCAAGCCAAGAAGCTTTGCAGGCGGCTTAAACAAAAGAAGGTAAAGGTGTTCCAACGGTGGAGGTTAAACCTCTACCATCACATCTTAGGTATGAGTTCTTAGGCCCAAATTATACTTATCCCGTGATTGTTAGTGCATCTTTGAGCAAGAGCCAAACTCAAGAGTTATGCGATGTTTTGAGAATGCACCAAGGTGCTTTGGGATATACCATTGATGACATCAAGGGTATAAGCCCCGATTTATGTACTCACCACATAACCCTTGAGGAGGGCGCTCTACCTTCTATTGAGCAACAACGGAAACTACATACCCAAATGGGGGAGGTAGTGAAGAAAGAGATTACCAAACTTTTGGATGCGGGAATTATATTCCCCATCTCGAGTTCTAGGTGGATCTCTCCCATTCATGTTGTCCCAAAGAAGGGAGGCATGACCGTCATTGAGAATGAGAGAGGTGAGCTCATTCCGACAAGGGCGGTCACGGGGATGGAGGATGTGTATAGACTATAGACGTCTAAACATATCCACAAAGAAAGATCATTTTCCCCTTCCTTTCATTGATCAAATTCTTGAGAGATTAACGAGGCACAAGTTCTATTGTTTTCTTAATGGTTATTCTGAATTTTTCCAAATCTCTATCCACCCGGATGACCAAGATAAAACAACCTTCACTTTTCTATATGGTACATTTGCCTATCGGAGAATGTCGTTCTGACTTTGTAATGCTCCCATAACATTCTAACGATGTATGATGAGTATCTTCGGGGACATGTTGGAGGAGAAGATGGAAGTGTTTATGGATGAATTCTACGTAGGCAGTGTTTCATTTGAGGCATACCTTGAACATCTTGAGAAATGTTTGGCAAGGTGTGAGAAGGTGAACTTGGTATTGAATTGGGAAAAGTGTCACTTCATGGTGGAGGAAGGCATAGTCCTTTGCCATAAGATTTCTCACAAGGAGATAGAGGTGGACAAAGAAAAAATTGAGGTTATTCAAAAGCTTCCACCTCCGGTCAATGTAAAAGGAGTGAGATATTTCTTAGGACATGTCGGGTTTTATAGAAGATTCATCAAGGATTTCTCACTCATTGCAAAGCCCCTCAATGATCTTCTTCAAAAGGATGCCGAGTTTGTATTTGATTATAAGTGTTTTGAAGCATTCAATAAGTTTAAGAAGCCTCTAATTTCTACTCCCATTATCCAAGCCCCGAGATGGAATTTACCTTTTGAGTTGATGTGATGGTAGTGATACGGCCATTGGGGGTGTGTTGGGTCAAAGATTTGATAAGAAGCTCCATGTCATTTATTACATATCAAAGACTGTCAATGGTGCTAAAAGGAACTACACAACAACGGAGAAAGAGTTTTTGGCAATTGTTCATTCCTTTTAAAAATTTATTTGCTATTTGTTAGGGTCCAAGACGATTGTCTTCACCGATCATGCGACCCTAAAATATCTTTTTTTTAATAAGGAATCAAATCCAAGGTTGATCCGTTGGGTGCTTGAGCTACAAACTTTTGATCTTGAAATTAGAAATTAAAAAGGAGCGGAAAATGTGGTTGCGGATCATTTATCTAGACTTAAGGATTTTCAAGTTTAAGATGATGGGTCTCCTATAGAACATAGAATGTTGGATGATTCTTTGTATTCTATATATGTGAAGGAACTCCCATGGTTTGCCGATTTGGTTAACTATCTTTCTTGTGGGGAGTTTCCTCCTTCATTTACCAAGAATCGAAGTAAGAAGCTTAAGAGGAAGGCTAGTCATTATGTGTGGGATGAACCGATCTTGTACAAGAGAGGTGTTGATGGTTTGTTGCATTGATGTGTGCCAAAGGAAGAGATACCTAGTGTGTTGAAGATGTGCCACTCGGATCCTAGTGGCGGTCACATCGGTGTTTCTAGGAAATCTTCCAATGTGCTTCAATGTGGATTATGGTGGCTAAATCTCTTCAAGAATACTTGGGAATTTGTCAAGAGTTGTGACCAGTGCCAAAAAACCGGAAATATTTCAAGGAGAAAGGAGATGCCCCAACAACTCATCCTTGAGGTGGAAGTTTTTTATTTATGGGGAATCGATTTCATGGGTTATTTTCCTTCTTCATATGGAAATCAATATATTCTTATTGCCGTTGATTATGTGTCAAAATGAGTTAAAACCATTGCTTCACCAACAAACGATCATAAGGTAGCAATGATATGTTCAAAAAGATAATTTTTCCAAAATTTGGCATTCCAAAGGAGGTCATAAGTGATAATGGATCTCATTTTGTGCATAGTGCATTCCGCAAGATGTTGAAGAAGCATGAAGTTAATCAACGTTTTAGACGCCCCTATCATCCTCAAACTAGTGGTCAAGTTGAGGTTTCTAATCGTCAAATCAAGTTAATTCTTGAGACGACGAATACAAGAAATAGGAAAGATTGGTCGGACAAGCACTACTACAAAAATTGGCAAAGAGATCCGTTGAAATATGCTTGATAGACCGCCTCACAACGGATCTCTAGCTCAGGGGTCTGTTTGATAGACCCGTTCAATAAAGGGGGTCTGTTTTTTTGGGACAAAGAGACCCGTTGTAAGTGATAACGGGTCCATAATGTAAGTTATGAAATTAATATTTTAGAAGAATAAGAGACGTGTTAATTAAGATATGGGGTCTGTTTAGTTGTATCAAACAGACCTATTATGTGAGGTAACAGGTCTCTTCATTCTTTAACTTTAAAAAAAAAAATTTATTTTTGCTTTTTATTTTGTGTGGTTTGGCAGGTTCACATTTGAATTTTGTAAATTTTGTTTATATGCAATATAAATATTGGGGATAAATCATATGAAGTAAATTGTAAGTTACAACCACATAAAATATCTATGGATTAAATACAATTGATGTGATATAAAAAATAAATTTAAAAAAAAAAAAAATCATCCAACATAAATTTGCTACAAATAAATTGAATTTACTTAATTTTACAATTACCCTTCCACGGTGTTTCCAACCCAATAAATGCAACAGATGCAGTTCCATCACGATGGATGGAATGAAGGATTCCAACTGGTGAATGCTGTTTTTGCTCCTCCCCCAGACGCACCCAGTCCCCAGCAGCAAAGCCATGGGTGACACGCTCTAATGTGGATGTCCGAACTGTTAGTGGATCATGGATTCCACACACCCTCACTAAGACAGAGCCATCCCGATCATCACTGCCTTCTAAGACCACAACATTCCCCTCTGGAATATTACATCAATAACTACTTGTCTACTCCATTTCTAATCAGTGGCGGAGCCAGGATTTTCAACTTGGGGGGACAAAATGCTTAACTTACGAAAAGCTTAACAAAAAATAAAAACAAAAAAAAAACTCACACACAAATTGGTTAATACTTAATATTAAAATTTCAAAATACAAATATATACTTAGTCATACAATTCAAAATGATGAAAAAAATTACATAAACATTACATTAAAATTACAAGTTCATTCTTCGAGTCTTCATACTTTGAAATCGATCAATAATCTTTTCGTCGGAAACTCGTAAGAAGACATCCTTCTCAATAAAAGTGACCAAACAATCATTCATAAGTTGATCACCCATGCTATTTCGCAACTTGTTTTTGACACATATCATTGCAGAAAACACTCTTTCAACACTTGTCGTGGCAACGGGAAGAATCAACATCAATTTGATAAGCAAATGAATAAGAGGAAAAGTCTTATGCTTATTGGTTTTAACAAGCATCATAGAAAGAGAATTAAGGTCATTTAAACCTTGAAATCTTTCATCATTTAGCATATTCTCCATGAATACATCAAGTTGATATTCAAGAGCCATCAAATCAAAGCTTGAAAATTCTTCGGGATAAAAAGAGGCAAGTTTAAGTACCTTATCTTTATCAAAGGATGAGAAGTTATCTTTAGGACTTAAACAAGCCATACATAATAGTAACTCCATATTCCTCTCATTAAATCGTTCATCAAGTTCTTGAAGATGCAAATCAATTAGTCTTAAGAAAATTCCAACCCGAAAATGATGTTCATTTGTTGCTTCTTCAACAAAACGTCTTGATCTTCCATGAGGAACATAAAGAGAATCCATAGTGGGAATAACAACACCATGTTTAGTGCAAAATGAAGTTACCTTGTTTAAGAGAGTATCCCATCCTCGCTCCCTCATTTTTTGCAACACCGTTTTTGTATAAGTGACAAGTTCCATGGCATTTACAATATCTTGCTCCTTTCTTTGCAAAGCAACACACAAATCATTAGTGTATCCAAAAATAGTCAACATCAAGTGAGCAACAAAAATAAAGTCAAATGACTCTAATTGTCCTAAAACAATTTGAGCTTTGAACTTATCTTCCGATGCACCATGCTTCCCAATTTGTACAAGCACCTTAATAATTGTAGGAAATAAGAGGATGGCATTTAAAAGTGACTTGTAATGAGAACTCCAACGAGTATCCCCGGGCCTACTCAAACCAAGTTCTTGATTTAAACCCGATCCACTCACAATATCCCCAACATCCAAGGCTCGAGCAACTTCTTGAGCTTGATCTTGACGAATCATTTCTCTTCTCTTGCAAGAAACTCCCACCACATTCAACAAATTTCCAAGTATCTCGAAAAGCCAACCACAACTATCATTCTTTTTAGCAACGGCAACTAATGTTAGTTGAAGTTGATGAGCAAAACAATGTATATAGTAGGCACTTGGAGTATCATTCATAATCAAAGTCTTAAGGCCATTTATTTCACCCTTCATGTTGCTAGCTCCATCATACCCTTGCCCTCTTATCATAGATGGGCTCAATGAATGTTCAACAAGTAAAGACATGATTGCATCTTTAAGAGTTAAAGCGGTAGTATTATCAACATGAACAATGCCTAAAAATCGCTCCATTACCTTTCCACTATCTCTATCAACAAAACGCAAAACAAGAGCTAGTTGTTCTTTTTGGGACACATCACTTGACTCATCGGCCAATATAGCAAAGTAATCATCACCAACTTCTTCTATTATGCACCTAGTTGTTTCTTTGGCACAACAGTTAATAATGTCCTTTTGAATAGGAGGGGAAGTCATTTGACAATTTTTAGGTGCATTTTCAAGAGTATGTATCCTTACTTCCTCAACCTTTTCTCCTAACCACTTCAAAAGCTCAAGGAAATTACCCCTATTATATGACTCCCCACTTTCATCATGTCCACGAAATGCCAAACCTTGCCCCAAAAGAAATCTTAAACAAGATAAAGATGCTTTCAAGCGGATAAAATATTCACTTTTAATCACATCACTTGCATTGTCAATCACATTCAAGATTGATTTCTTTTTTTCATCTCTTAAATTCACATATTTCTCATAAGCAAGATTATGAGCACTTTTAATTCCACCAACATGCTTCTCAAATCTTTCCGGTTTATTCCATGCCCTAAACCCTCCATCAACAAATGCATCACCCCCCGGTTTAATACCAACTTCATTCTTGAACAAGTAACATACAAAACAAAATGCAGCATCTTTTTCAATACTATATTCAAGCCAATCCCATTTGTTGAACCAATGAACACTAAAGCGACGCAAACCAGACACTTGTCTTGTAGGGAAGACATGAGTTTTTGGTTGGCAAGGTTTTTTAAGAATATAACCCCTCCTAACAGCATTTCGTTCATTTGCGGGGTAATCCATAATGTTTATTCTTTTTCCCGGATCATGAGGAAGAAGTTCAACATCATACACCAAATCTTCCTCTAATGGTACATTACTATTACTTGAACCACCCATTTCCATACTATTTTCTTGACTTTGAGGGGAGCTAACTGAAGGTGAGTTATTGGACTCATTTTCATTGAGTCTCGTTCTTTTAAACAAGAATTGTCAAAGATCGGGTTGTTTAGTTGCCTTTGATTTGTTTGAATTTGGTGAATCTTTTGATATTTCCTAGTTAAATTGAAAATTATATATCAATTTCCACAAGACCACAATCCACATCATTACATAATAACAAAACCTAAGAGGCTAAGATTTTAAATTTCTAATTCAACTACACATTTCAATAATTTACAATAATTAATAATTTAAATTCACATTTCACAAAAACAACCAAAAACTCTAACAGGGGAAACAATCAAACAAATATAAATCAATAATCATTTATCAATTCAAATTATTCAATAATCAATACCCACAAGGCCACAAATGACAAATTCACAATAAAAATATAAACAATTAAACATTTAAACAAGTAATAAAAATATGAAATTCAGAATTTCAGATTTACTGTAAATTTAAACAATTAAACATTTAAACAACAAAACAAGTAATCAATTATTCAATTAATCATACATTCATTGATTCATACCTCCATTGAAATCCAGATTTACAGCAAATGTGTTATGCTTATGCATATGAGTATATGACGAAGTCACGCTGTCACGAAGACACGAAGTCACGAAGGACGAAGGCTCAAGGGCGGCTGTTGAACCTCGTCACTGCTGCGAACTGCCGGCGAACGGTGGACGGCGTCACGGCGAGCCGGCTAGGCGATTGACGAAGTCACGAAGACACGAAGGACGAAGGCTCAAGGGCGGCTGTTGAACCTCGTCACTGCTGCGAACTGCCGGCGAACGGTGGACGGCGTCACGGCGAGCCGGCTAGGCGACAGGCGAGGGCGAATCGAAGAGAGAGAAATTGAAAATTGAAAAACTTAGGGTTTGGCTGGCTGGCAAATGTCGCAACAGAGCACTGTAAATCTGTAATTGCATTTTTTTTTTTAAATTTTTTTTTTTTTTAAATTTTTTTTTTTTTAAAATTTTTTTTTTTGAAAATGGGGGGACAAGTGTCCCCACATGTCCCCTTCTAGCTCCGCCAATTCTAATTCCTTTGTTTGAGAATTTTGTTTGACGAAATCATCACGCAAATCTGACAAAAAAAAAATAAAGACAAATTAGTAAATTACTTAATGAAATTGATATATATATATATATATATATATATATATATATATATATATATATATATATATAGTACTACTTGTATAATTGGTGATCCAAAATACAAGACAAATAAAAAAAATGAATGAACTCACTTGAATTACAAACACTACAGCCAAAACACTAATAAACATCATAGTTACCTAACTAAGCATAATAACACAAGGAGAAGAACATATTTGTGAAAGTGAATGAACTCACATGAAATACAACAACAATTTCGGCAAAACTTAGAGAAATGACCCTGAAGATGAGATCTGAGAAAAAGACTATAGCCAAAACAAATATGGAACTAGTTATAATTAAGAATTCTAATAAAAAAACATATTTGAAAACACATTCAATAATAATAATAATAAAAAAACAATTATAGATCGATTACCTCAATTTTGATCGGAAGTAAGGTAATCAATTAGACAACAATTTTTCAGAATTTCTGAATCTATTAGCATAGGAGGTTGAGCTTCTTTCTGCAATCGAAAAATTGAATTAGACCTTGAATAAGGTTCGATAATGAACATTCGAAAATTGGGAGGATAAAGAGCAAGCACAGGAGATAAAGAGCCCCTATTTACCATCATTAGAGTAAATGTAGTGTTTTGATTTAATGGAGAAAGGAAGAGGAAGTGGCGGCAGTAACATGAAGAGAGGTTAAGGGTTTTAATTTGGGGTTGGGCTTGGGCAGAGTTTTGAAGAGGTGAAATATGTGAATGTGGCTGAAGGCAAATAATGAGGTATAAAAAGAAACTTTTGTATTCACCCGGTTTTCAGTAATTTACTGTATATCGGGTACACTTTTGTCAGATTTAGTGTCACTTTTGTTAAATTTAGTGTCACTTTTGTCAAATTTATCAATAAAACATAAATAACTCTTATATATGTCACGGTAACTTTTGTGCGTTTTAGTGTAACTTTTGCACATTTTATTGTCATTTTATAACGGATGTTCAGTAATTTACTGAACATCCGTTTTATTTAAAAGTTAACTTTTGTATACACCCGGTTTTCAGTAATTTACTGTACATCGGGTACACTTTTTTTAGATTTAGTGTCACTTTTGTCAAATTTAGTGTCACTTTTGTCAAATTTATCAATGAAGCATAAATAACTCATATATATCAGGATAACTTTTATGCATTTTAGTGTAACTTTTGCGTATTTTATTGTCACTTTATAATGGATGTTCAGTAATTTACTGAACATCCGTTTTATTTAAAAGTTTGTGTAAAAAGAAATAAAAAAAGGTACGGAGTACAAGTTTTGTCAAAGGAGTAAAGGTAAGAGACCCTCTAAAGTTGAGAACGGGTATGCTATGTCTTTTTTTTTTTCAATACACATAAGAGACCTGTTATAATTGATATTTGATCTCTTACATCAAACAGACCCGTTAGTTAAATAATGGGTCTTAAATTGGGGGTCGTTTTTTCCAATTTTTGTAGTAGTGAAGCTTATGATGCTTTGTGGACTTATAGAACGGCCTTTAAGACTCCTATTGGCACCACCCCTTACCGCTTGGTTTATGGGAAATCTTGTCATCTTGCGGTTGAACTTGAGCATCGTAGTCATTGGGCTATTAAGAAAATCAATTTCGACTAGTCAAGTGCGGGTGAAAAACGTTGGCTTGATCTCCATGAGTTGGAAGAGCTTCGTATGGATGCATATGATTGTGCAAGCATGGACAAAACTCGTACCAAGGAGGTGCATGATAAGCTTATTGAGACAAAGGAGTTCAATGTTGGTGATAAGGTGCTCATTTACAATTCAAGAATGAGATTATTTCCCGGAAAGTTAATGTCTCGTTGGAGTGGTCCTTTTGTGGTTCAAGAGGTCTTCCCCAATGGTGCAGTGGAAATCTCTCCTTTAGATTTCTCAAGGTCTTTCCAAGTCAATGGCCATATGCTCGAGCGTTACTATGATGGAGTTTTTGTCTGAGTTATTCATAATATGACCCTCTATGAACTACCTTGAAGGGTGGAAAACGTCAAGCTAATGACGTTAAACAAGCGCTTCTCGGAAGGCAACCCGAATTTCCAACTTTCTTTTCTACTTTCTTTTATTTTATTTTTCCTTTTTTGATGTTTTTTGTCGAATTGATTCTCTTTCTTTATTGTGTTCTAGGGTGATTTGGATTGGATGGAAGTAAGGTTTCCAACAATTTTGGTACAAAATTTGAGGATGAAGTGTTCAATTTGAGTGCTTGGAAGCATATTTAAGAATTGAATCTTGGTGGGTTCGAAATGGTGGGTTCATTAAATTGTCGTGTTAAACCCACTGTAAAGGCGTTTAGGGACTGCCTAGTCTCGTGTTTATCACGATCATATAGCGTGTGCCCACCGATGTGCGCATAAGAAAGTTTTGGAGGAGCAAAAGACCCAGGAGGGCGCGAGCGCGCACGGCCGCGTGGCATAGTGGCGCAGCCGCGCCCCCCTGCTGCCCCTTGTTTTAAGCGCACCATCCTTCATTTCTCTCTCTTCCTCCATTTTCTTACTTCATTTCTCTTGTTGTGTTCTAGCATTGTCACCTTTTTTGCTGCCATATCATCATCATAATATTATCATTTTTCACTTCATTTAGTTGATTATTACTCTAAAATCTCTAATTTTACACTTTCCAAGTGATTTTCTCTCTCCAAAAGTTGGGAATTTTTGGGTACTATTTGATTGGGGTTTTGAGTTTGCAATTTAGGATTGAAAGTGTGTGTTTCTCATAAATTCAAGGTATGATTTCTTCATTTCTTTTGGTTTTCTTGATAAATTATCTACCTTGGTTTTTCATGAGTAGTTTGATTTATTTTGGTACTTACATTAATGGTCCTTCCATATTGCTTGTTTCTTACCTCAATACTTGTATTGATGGTGTTTATTGATGGATAATTGAACTTGTTATGCTTGATTTTGCCTGAACAACCACTATTTTGGTATCGTCATTGTTGGATATGTTGTTATGATATTTGTAGTAATAATGTTCTTATTAATGTGTTCTAGATGATTGATTGGAGTGTTGTTGCTCTTGGTGCTCATTTGTAGTTCATAAATTCATGCTAGCATTATTGTTCAAGTGCCTTTTTACACTTGTGGTGTGATAATTTGTTCATTTTCATGATAATGTGGCCTTGAATTTGTGTGCTCTTGATATACACCATATTTTCACATCATTCCTTTCATGATTTTGAGCCTAGTTCTTATTTGCTTGTGTGCAAATGGCACCTCTTCGCCGGGCCAAGAGGGCACGAAGTTCTACTTCTAGGGAGGTTGTGCCATCTTCACCCAATTTCAAAGAGACTTATGGCATCGAATTTACCAAGCAAGAGCATTGGGAAAATTTCATTCGTCTTTCATCTAGAAAGCTTCAATCAACCCGATCCTATGATGCATTGGCAACTACATCTTTGAGAACTGATGATGATGTGAGACTCTTGGCTCAAAATTTGGGGTTGGAAGAATTCATTGGTCTTAATTCTCCGACCTATGCTCGCATCACCTTTGAGTTTCTTTCATCTTTAGAAGTGAATGTGGAGAAGTTAGATGGTGTGTCTACCCAAGTGCTTACATTTCAAGTATTCAACAATGACCACTCGGTTCCTCTCTCCTATTTCTATGAAGACTTCAAGTTTCCTTCTCCAATAGAGGGTACTTCCTACATTTACCCGGCTTTTGAGGTTTTGCGAAGAGATCATGATTATAAGGAACGTCGTTGGTGGAGGCACATAACGGTTGAAGATAGCTATCGTCCCCAATATTCCAAGTCAGCTTTCATCATCCACCCGGCCTTGAGATACTTTAGTAGGCTCCTCACCTATGCATTTTTCTCTAAGGAGTCTCTTGGAGCCATCTCTAGGGAAGAGCTAAGTTGGCTTTGGTTGGCTAATAAGCCTTTTGAGCATAAGGTCGAGGTCCTTGATTTTGCGTCCCATTTGCTTGATCATTTTATCGATATTCGCGATGGTGTTTTTCTCTCCGGAAGCATTCAATTGGGAGGAAAGATCACTGATCCTCTCTCGCAATAAAAGATATGGGAAGATGCTTGAATCCCTTGAACCCATTTGTGATAAGCGAGAGAAGACTCCATCCCTTCTACTTAGTATATATGCCTTGATAAATCAAAGATTTTTGGAGCACACTTCTCAAGAAGACTTTGTTTGTTTGGAAAGTTTTAAGGACAATAGATTGGTGCCCCATCCCTCACCCGAAGGTTACGGCAATATGCTTAGGCACCACTCTTCCATGGAGACCAAACAAGTGGTCGGTCAACCAAGCTCTCAAGAAAGCTCCTTTGCCAAATCTCCGCCACAATACATATGTCCCTCTCGCTCCCTCTTTGCCCCCAGTTGGATGGGGAGGTACTCCTATCCCTTCTTCTATTTCTTCTACTAAAATTGAATTATCTACTTTGCATGCCAAGTAAGATTCCATTGCTAATGTTTTGTAATCCATGCCTTTGGGGCGCGATATGTCTCTTGGATATGAGTTCCATGCCAGTCAAGTGTAGGACTACCATGTGAGGAGGGGGTAGATTGACCCTTACATGAACTATCCATACCTCCAGATCCAACAAGGACCCATCCCTCAATGGGAACCCTTTGATCCATCTGTCGGTCTTAGACCTTGTTATCCCTACTGGGAGGGACCCAATGTGCCTCCCCATTGGGGTTAGCAAGACCCGACCAATAAAACCCAAGTAATTGAGTTCAAAGGCTTTCACTAAATTTGATACCTTTTCCAAATCTTGAGTTCAAGGGTTTTCACTTATTTGTGATCCCCTTTCCAACTCTTACTCAAGCATCATTTCCAATGCCCTTACTTGGGTATTTATAGGATATGATGAGAGTATGATTGTCTCTCCCACCAATGTGGGATAGTGAGATTTTCACATTTTATTTTAAAGGTAAAATAAAATTATTTAAGCAGGCTAGTAATAAAACAACAAGTGTCAACTATTCATGAGAGAGCAAGCGAGGACCACTTGGAGATAGGGGCCACCAAACTTGCTCCCCACTCTCTTCCTCTCCATGTGCCACATGTCCTCCCTAAGCTCCCACTTACTCTTCCTTGCTCACGACCTAGCTACCCGCGCCATAGCCCGCGCCACGGCCCAGCTACCCGCACTCAGAGATACGGGCTGCTGCTGCTTGCGGCTAGCAAGCCGTGCACTCCGAGTGCGGGCTGCTGCTGCACGCTGCTAGCATGCCGCGCATTCTTAGTGCGGGCTGATGCTGCTTGCCACCCTTAGATCTCGTGGCTGCTAGCAATGGTGAGCTAGCATGCACCAGCTAGCCTAGGCTCCACTTGGTGCGAGTGCTAGCCTCCATGCTATGCATTATGCCCCTAGCACTTGGATTGCTTGGGGCACTCTAATTCTAGGGGTGTTTTGGGAATTATGTTGATTTATTAATATTTACACGTCTCGTCTTTTATTATTTCCGACTCGACTTCTGACACTCGGTTTCGACGCTCAGAGCTCGTCTTTTACAGTGTCGCTCAGAGCTTGTCTTTTATTATCTTCCCTATTTTTAGTAGGGGGACATTTCTAGTCTTGTAATGTAACTTTTCTTACTAAGAGGACCTAGCCGCCCGAGTTATGCCGTTATAATCCCCTATTACGACTGACGTTTGACAATCATCAAAGCGGACTAGTACTCAAACAAGAAAGCTCACAATACTCATGGTCAAGGAAAAAGGTTCCGATAGCAATAACGAGAAGTATAGTTAAACCAATACCTGTGCAAATGATTCATGGCAATCATGTCCTTGTAGCACATGAAACGGTGCTATAAA